ACTATTTGTTAACACAACATCCCTTACCTGGTCAGTTGTGGAATGTGCCTTTGAGTACTATTAGGTTCTACGTGAATAATCGCCCCTAGAGGAGTGGGGGAAGGGGGAGGGGGCTAGGGTGTGGTTCTACCGCAAGCTCAGTCTGAAATTCAGTGATGGCACACTCTACTTCAATTTCCAATTGCAGTTCCATGCTCCTGGACCGAAATCGCGATACGAGGAGTTCGTGGAGGTCATGCAGGGAGTGCTGCGAGTTGGACGTTTCGCCCCCATACACAACGAAAACTTTGGCCATCAACGTATGTTCCTCGTCAATTACGAGGACCCGTACTGCGTTGGCAAATATCTTGGAGCAGTTCTTCTAAAATTTCACCATGGACATCGGATGCAACCACCCGATGCCCTGAGTTTAAGGACCAATTTTTCTGCTTGAATGAACTCAGGGCGACTAGTTCCTGAAAACTGCGGCCTACCTCGATGTACTGGAATCTCTTCAGTCACATCTAGATTCTTATTGTATTTATTTATTGATTGGTGAATTGATTGAATTGTTGGATGCCTTTCACTTTTAACTCTTGAATGACCTAGATACCTAATAATTCATTACTGTGGATTCAATAAACATCGCTTTACGAGTGTGATGATAAAAGTTTTATGTTCCGGTTTCCGAAACTCGAAAGGGCTGAACTGATAAACGTTGAATATCCTTAATAAATTCGCCATGCATTCGACTCCCTCAGAGAGTTGCTGAGTTGTTTTGATCTGAACCTCTTATATCTTGGAGGCTAAGAGGTGATTCCCAGGGCTGGCTGAGGACAGTTCCTTAAATTTTAAAAGAAAAGCAAGAATATCCAGCCCATCTGAGGTGCCATTCTGTGAACAAACATCTCGGTAACAGAGCCGTGAGGCCACAAATGCAAGCGCACCCAATTTGCGAGGTGCCTGCGTCTTTTTCTCGTCTTCTGCATTCCTTTCTCCAATGTCTGTACTCCCTCACCCTTGCCCAGTATTTCTACGTCGTGGATTCGTCCACCGAATGAGAGAAGGAGTCTCTCTCATTTAATTATTGAAAGTGTCCTTTTCTTCTTCACTGAAGGTTATCCTCCCATATCTACTTTTTATTTTCAAGCGCAATAACCCCACCTATTTCACGGTGGAATGTGCCTTTAAGTTCGATGCTCATCTCAACAAAGGAGTGGCCCCTCTTTTAGCAAGGCATTGACGTACCACATCATTCACCACTACTTTTATTATGGGCTCTACTTATGAAGTGTTTATTTTGAAGCATCCTTTGTAATACAGTGATTACCTATCAGGGGAGACTCACCTGCGATGGGCGGAGGTTTCAGTGCCGTTGCCTCAGTGGTAGGAGATATGATGCTTGGGGCTCGAATCTTTGCTCAAGCCAAGTTTCATTTCTTTTCGTCATGACTGGTGAAGGTGACTTTGAGTTCCAACTCGCATGTGGAGGACTGACTAAACTATTCAGAAATTATCATCAATGAACTAAATAATAGTAACAAAATGAATAAAAAATCCAAACAGGTAAACTGAAAAGAGTTGATCACAAACATTCTGGATGCGCCATGCATTTAAAATTCAATTGGATTCGCACTTCTACACGCTTTTGACTGTGTACAATGTTCCAGTGAAAGCGAGGTCCAGAGCTCGTCCCCTTGAGTTCGAGATAAATTCCTTACCAATAAAAAGCAAAACAGAGGTAGGGTTTGGTCAGCCTCACTGACATTCGATCTTTCACATGGGAACTTAGCGCCAATTATTGCGACTGCACCACTTTGCATTATTGCCTAATTAGAGCAACTCCGCTCTATATTGTTAGAGCTATCCAAGCTGGATGGATGGATGACCTGATGACAAAAGAAAGCTGTCGTTCATCTCGCTTCTTGAATGGCGTGCCACTCAGACATACGCCGTTCCTGTCAACATCACGCGCAAGTGCCCTTATAAATGCTCCCGAGCCGGGTGTATACATATGTGACCGCCTTGGCACCATTTTACTCCACGAACCACCTCTTAGGCGGAGGTCTCATCATCACTCATGACTCGTCTAGGTTTCCGGTTATTTCACAATTTCTAAGTCCTTGTCATCGAGAGAGCGCTACATGATTGTCCTATTGAGGTCAATTTGGTTACGGTCTGCTGACGGCTCATTTCAACATCGAAACGCTGAGAAAAAAGGACAAAGTATCAGGTTGTCAGAAAAGTCTTGCGCATTTTCTTCATCTTGCAAAATCTTTGGAGGTCATTTTGAA